CAGGACGACTGATCCGTGTAAAGGAAAGAATGAATGGGGCCATGTATCGTGAGATTTTGAGTGAAAACCTCCTTCCATCAGCAAGGGCATTGAAGATGAAACGTGGCTGGGTCTTTCAGCATGACAATGATCCCAAACACACCGCCCGGGCAACGAAGGAGTGGCTTCGTAAGAAGCATTTCATGGTCCTGGAGTGGCCTAGCCAGTCTCCAGATCTCAAACCCATAGAAAATCTTTGGAGGGAGTTGAAAGTCCGTGTTGCCCAGCGACAGCCCCAAAACATCACTGCTCTAGAGGAGATCTGCATGGAGGAATGGGCCAAAATACCAGCAACAGTGTGTGAAAACCTTGTGAAGACTTACAGAAAACGTTTGACCTGTGTCATTGCCAACAAAGGGTATATAACAAAGTATTGAGAAACTTTTGTTATTGACCAAATACTTATTTTCCACCATAATTTGCAAATAAATTCATTACAAATCCTACAATGTGATTGTCTGGAAAGAAAATTCTCATTTTGTCTGTCATAGTTGACGTGTACCTATGATGAAAATTACAGGCCTCTCTCATCTTTTTAAGTGGGAGAACTTGCACAATTGGTGGCTGACTAAATACTTTTTTTCCCCACTGTAAGTTGAATGCACCAATTTGTAAGTCGCTCTGGATAAGAGCGTCTGCTAAATTACTTAAATGTAAATCTCTCACCGGCAGTAGTTTGGGGACGAAGAGACGATGGCCCATCCCCAGGAGCCCCATCACCTTACAGACAGAGTCTGTCTCCCCAGCTTTCTCCTCCGCTGAACCCCCTTCCTCTGCCCCCCAGCTGCCCCTCCGCAGTGCCGCTGGTAGCTGGGTGGGCATGGCAGGGACTGGGGGTGATGGTTGGGTGGAAGGGGAAAAGGAGGGAGAGGAGGGCGGAGAAGAGAGAGGCTCCAGCTCTGGGGCCAGGGTGTCCAGGGTGCAGGGCGACTCCAGCGTGCAGTCCCAGCTATGTCCGAGCTAAGTCTGCGTCAATGTCGGTCAATCCGGCCAAGAATTGAGGTCAGAGTCCAGCAGAGATTTCTTTCTTTGGCTGTTTGGCAATTCAGCAATTCAAGCTAGGTCTTAACGAATGGCAGCGATTACCTTTTGTGGGAAAGAATAGGTGTATAGTTCCGCATCGGGTAGTGACACACACAATGAGGTATTGGATCAGAGCTACTCTCGATAGACTGGCCAAGCCTGTCGTCCCCCGATAATACAAACTCTGCAAAAATACACCATAAATAGATTTCCACAGGTAGACAGGATCCAGTGGGTTTGAGCACCGTAGAGAATCAGTGAGTTCGTTCGGTTCATTCAGTAAGCTCCATTGTCAGAGAGCTGATACAGCCCCTAGGCCTGACAACACTATCTTCACTTCATCACAACTGACCAGTGCATTCGGCATAATGTAGATACGGTGAGCCAGAACAATACAGTGCAGTCACGGTTGTAAAAGGATACTCATCTGCTTTTCCCCCCCCCAAAGAAATCCAAAAACGGGAGCACGCCGTTGCCTAGCAACAAAACAGACAGGCACGTGGCTAGGCGGTTTAAGCAGATGACAGGTAATGAGTCTTCCACTTTTTATCCCCCTCCCTTCTTCAAAGAGAGAGAATCCCTCTTTTCACAACCGAGCCCAAGACTTCAATGATACTCTTCAGCCTAGAGGTAACCATATAGACGTACAGGTCACGGCAGATTGAGTTTGCTTCAGAAAATGTGTCCACAAACATCCCTCCCTTCCAAATGATGTAGTCCCTTTACGTCCGAAGCGGTCCTTTCTGATGTAACACACTTCGGAAGCTGAGGGCAGGAAGAGACTGAAGTGATTATGTCTATTAGCCACGCCGCCTTAGGCTGAAGCTGCTTCCATCCCAAACAGTGTCGTCTTGGCGTTGTGTTGTTTACAGCTGAACAGACTTTACAGACGATGGTGACTCAGAGTCCAAGAGAGGAAACAGACATGGTGGTGTTAGAGATCAGGGAGAGGCAGAGGAGGAAAGGCTCTGACAGTGAGCTTTAGCAGGACACTGGACACACAAGCCTGAGAGTGTGTGTGTGTTTCTCTCTCTCTGGCAGGAAATTATTTGCTCCCATAAAGGAGCATTGAAAAAGCCAACACCCTCAGAAGCAGAGTTCACTTAGGAAGAAACATCCACAAAGGCTTTAAAAAGGACTCCTAAATCTAAGACCTCCAGCAGACTTCCATAAGGAAACACATCCAGGATAGAAATCCTTCCAGTCAAGGTAAAGGTTTCCTTCCAGGTCCTTTGCAGGAGGGTCCTTTTGCAATGTCAGATTCTGCTGGTCCAAAGCCTCGGCCAAACGGGGGAGCAGGGGACCTCTGGAGCCACAGGTCTGGGTATGGTCTGGCAACAGCTAGTGGAGGCATGTGGAGAGAAACCACACAGGTGCTCCCACCTTCCTCTTCCGTTCTCTCCCTTCCCCTCTCTCCTTCAGCACTCGCTCAGCTAAAAAGGTCTGCGATGCTATTGGCTAACACCGCTGCTCCGATGCAGAGGTCTAGTCTGGGGCTGGGCGGAAGGACGGCAGAGCATGCGCACACAAAACATGTAGGGAGAGATAGCGAAAGAGCATGTGACAGAGGCTGAGGCAGAGAGGTGCTAGAAGACAAGAGGAGGAGAAGGAGACGGGAAGGGTATGAGAGACAGATCTGCGGGTCGATGAGCTTGCGGTAGACATCCCTGAAAAAATGTAAGACCCCCTCCCCCTTTTCTACACCTCAGCTAATAGCTAACTGATAACAGCTAAAATATGTTACTGCTGCTGCCGTGCACTCCTGATGGACTACGGTAGACCGGCAGGGGCGGGTAAGTGCCCAGAGGGAGAGGGAGGGGGAGAGAGACCGAGGTATAGAGGGGGTGGAAGGGGAGAGGGAGCCTCCGGGAAGAATGCTGTCATGCCTGGCCAATCGGAGACACACACAAGATATGCTTTAATAGCATGAAAGCACTATTCTGTTGTAGCTGGAGGCTTTTTTAAATCTAACAATAGACAGCAATGGGTATCATCAGCGAGGAGACAGTGTGTAGAAACAAAGTATTGGTTCAAATAGAAGGAGCCATCACCATAGCCCTCCCAGGAGCTGCTAGTTCACCTGGGTTCACGTCACACATGGTTTCTACCCACTAATGTCTCTCTCTTCATCTCTCTCTCACATTCTCTTTATCTCTCATTAATAGTAAAGACACCCGCCTCTCCATCTCTTTCTCCATCTCTCCCTCCATCCAAGGGTCTGACGTGTGGTACGGAGAATGATACAGTAGGTTTCTGATGACCCTGTCATCCTCACTGTAACCCATTTCCCCTCGCAGTGACTCAACATTATTCAAAATAAAATGCCAGCGAAAAGTTACATTTACAGTGCATGACAATTTCTCCCAGTGAGTAGTATGCAAATTCAGTCTTTTGTCAACATTTTATAACAATGCATAGGCCTACAACCTGAACTGCAAAGAATTCAGCACTTTATCACCAACATTTTATTTACTTTTTTTTAACCTAGTCCAAAATGAAAACTCCCAATGGTAGGGGGTTATGGGATTTTGTCTCTCAATGCAGAACGGTAACAAATAGTTTGGGGTCCAAGACTAATTGATTAGCCTATTAATATGTCAGCAATAGCACTGCAATCACAGTATCTGATACATATTGAAAATAATATTGAGTAAGATAAAGAGTTGAAGAGCACACTATAATAGCACAGCCTCATGCATCCCTGAAAGCTTGTAGAACAACATTATGCAGCATCAACCAAACATCACAGTGAAATATTGCCTGTTCTGAAACATAAATGTAATCGCCATATATATAATCCCTGTGTGATGCTGACGGATCTGCAATAGCATCCCCATCCCAACACCTGGCATCAACACAAGTAGATTGATACCATCGTAATCAGATCTGCCAACAATATAGTATTTCCCTAATCTCTCATTACATTTCCAGATTTTTCTGTTTTATCGTATTTCACAGCATCCATCCATTTCCTTGGCAAACTATCGTTGAAGGTGAACAAAGCGCAAACATTTTTAAGTATCAGTAAAATGTAATGAAATAAACAATAGTATAAAAAAAATGACATGGCTTCAGAGTGGTTGTTATTAGACAACTCCAGGTAGTCCCTCCCTGTTTCAATCTATTATTTTCCGTATGATAGATGACCCTGACCCTGATCTGGACCAACACTGAGTGTCTGCTCGTCTCCCCCCGCAGTACAAGATACCAGACCCGGTCTCAGGGACGGCTAACTCTGGAGATCCCATCGATCTCCACTAAGTTAGCTAAATCTGCTTTTTAGTTTTTTTGGCATCTTACTCTCAAAAAATGTGATAAATTGGTGCCTGTAGGACAATTCAAAAGGCTGATTGATTACCTTTTTACTGAAGAATGTGTTAGATTTCTATGACTGTGTATTGATGTGTATAGTGTATGTGAAAGAGACCTTGGTTAAATCAAATAAATCAATGGGCAGCAGAGGGAGACATAGGCAAAATATTCCACTTTCTTACAACACAGTCCTCCACCAGGTACTACACATAACATCATACATCCTCTGACAGCAGAGATGCTCTTCCCATGGATTTACTCAACACTGCAGAATCCCCCACAGTGACTTTTTTAATCAGTGAAAAGGTTCATAAGTAAGAGAGGATGGTGGTCTGTATCTTGAGTCTGGTTAAAAAGCACAGAAACATCATTTTTTGACGTTTTCTTCAGAAAGGTTCGGATTTCAGGGTTGGGTCATCTGATTCTGGATCTGTGGTTAGGGCCAACTTCTACCTCAAGACCGTTGAGGTCAAAAAGCCTTTTAATATAATCTGATTCATAGCGATCTAAAAGGCAGGTCGAAGTCTAGGCCTCTGTGTTGACTGTGAATCGTCCAATACCATAACAGAATTTGTCTGTAATTGAAACAGTACCCCCAGTATATAAATCAAAGTAAAGGAAGCCAA